CTGTACTTCCTACTGCACCTTGATGTCTTTAACAAATGTATCTAGCTTGAAGTTCTGTTTTTCCTTTTTTTTTTTTGTACTGGGAATCGAACTCAGGACCTTGCACTTGCCAGGCAGGTGCTCATGCCTCTGAGCTATGTCCCTGTCTGTTTTTCCTTATAAAGAAGCTCTTTCCTAGCCAGTAGTTTCAGAGTATGATTAGCACTGAGTTTGGATAACATTTGTTCCCCACAGGTTCCTGTGCTAGAAGCTTGATCCTTTCTGTCATGGTATGGAAAGAAAGGGACCTATGAGGGGTGGGGCAGGGTGGGGGACAGTTGAGCCTTGAACACCTGTGTGACAAGATTAAAGGGCTTCATGGAGTGGTCTGGGTCTTGCAGGATTGGCCGGTTCCTAGGAGAGGGAGTTATCAAGGGGCAAGCCTGGCCTTTCCCTCATCTCTTGCTTTCTGTCTCACTATGTGGCCTCTCTTGAGTGTGCCCTGCCACCTGTTGTGACCCAAGACAAAAGCCCTCGCCAGTCACTGGTGCCATATGGTTTGGCACTTCTCTTTGTAATGTACCTTGTCTGGTATTTTGCTCTGACAACACAAGATAAGGAGGGGACAATCAGATATTGTAATGTGGTCCCCCTACACACACACACACACACACACACACACACACACAAATGTGAGTCAGGGCTCCCAGCCCACTTCAAAGCAACTTGGCATAGGAAAGGGGCAATAATTGATTGCAACCACATTGCATCATGTTGAGTCAATAACCTGAAAGGAAAGCTTCTCAGACAGCATTGCTACGACTGAGTTTTTGTGAAAAAAAAATGTGTTTCCTTTACTCCACGCCAGGCACAGAGCACAGTTACTAGTCTTCCTCAAAGGACCATTCAGAACTGTTGGTACTACAGCGACCTGCTAATCATCTGCACACTATCTATTTTGCTGTAAACTTACTAAAATTAGAGAACTACTGGGGAAGCTCCGATTTAAGAGATGAAGCTGTGAATGCAGCTCCAACTTCCATCAGGAAAGAAGTTATGGGCTCTGGCTATCTGAATTTAGTAAATATTTACTGATCCCTCATTTACCCTGTGCTGAGCACTGCTGGCATTTCAAGGGATGTAAAGGCCAATGGCGCAGGGTCTTACATCTCAGGGACATAGGAATGGGGAAGAGGGAAGAAGCAATATTAATCAAATAGCCATAATATGGCATCAAATTTCCCTTAATCTCCTAACAGTCCCACGAAGTAGGTAGGAAGTAACACCTCTCTGCACAGCAGGAAGCTCAGTCTTAATAAACTGGAGTGGCTCCCCCAGAACACAACGGTCACTAGGAGGAAGTTAGCCCAGTTCTCCTTCCAAATCCAAAGCTCATATGCTTTCCACAGATTGCACGGTAGGAAAGGGGTAGCGAGTGTATAGTTATTCCAGCCAGCAGGGAACTGTAACACTGAGACAGGGTGAGGTAAAGGTGGAAGAACCTGGAGGTTTTATCTGAGATGACTTTAGAAAGAACAGATGGTATTTGTCAGATAGAAATGAGGAAGAGAATTTAAAGGAGAGAAAAGAATATGAGCAAAACTTAGAAAACAATGCACAAGACCCTTAAAGGACAAGAGCTGACCAAGCTCTCGAGGAGCAAAAAGTCTGGATAATTATCCTGGAAGTCGTGACTGGTATAGATTAGATCAGGCAATCTGGGTGATCAGGTAGGAGAGATTGACAAGCATCCTGGAAAGATAGGAAGAGCACAAAAGGAGGCCCTGGAATGGGATCGCAGGGGTAGGACTGCGAAGAAATGGTTGGCTTGTGCATTAGACTGATGGGAAAGCGCTCCTGATGAGATAAAGGCACAGTAACAGCAATGAGGAAAGAGAGTGGAGAAGAAGGATATTATGTTGTAAATATGTTTTGTCCGCCTCTAAGCTCATGTTGAAGCTTGATATCCATGATAAGGGTTAAGAGGATAGAAATTTAATTCAACTATATGGTGACTAGAGGCGAGACCTTGGGGAATGATTCAGATTAGATTAGGCTGTCCGGGTGGAACCCCAAGGCTAGTCAGTTTCTGTTTCTGTGACAAATGCCTGAGCTAATCAGCTCAGTAAGGGAAGGGGTTTATCTTCGCTCACAGTTTCAGAGGTCTCAGTCCAGGTCGCTTGATCCCCCATGGCTTATGGCTCCACAACACAAGTGTGTGGCAGAGGAGGCCTCTTCTCTCCTGGTGACTGGGAAGCAAAAGGAAGGAGCCAGGGTCCCAGAGTCCTCCTCTAGGGTAGCCCTCAGTGGCCTAACTTCCTCACACTAGACCGTACTTTAAACAGACTTCCCAGTAACTCTACTAGCAGAGGACCAACCCTTGAGTACAAATGCCCTTGGGGGAACATTTATCATCCAAACTACATCCCTCCATGATTGAATAGGGTGGCTTTGTAAGGGCAGGGAGTCCCGAGGATAGACATGCCTATGTCCTCCCTGTCTCTTTCATGTGATGCCCTGTGCCACCTGAGGACTTTGCCAGCAAGAAAGCCATTGCCAGATGCAGCCTTTTAATGCCGGATCAGAATGGTAGGCCGCATTTAAGTTTTTTATTTAAAAGTTAGCATCTGTGGTATTGTGTTCCCTGTAACAGAAAACAGAAGCCTACAGAGGGGGATTTCAGAATCCACCATCCTACAGTGGGAGCGGAACTGATCTGTGACCAAGCATGTGACATAGCTTCCCCTAGAGGTGGTTGGGACAGAACCAGAGCCGAGGTCAGCCAAGCAGAAGGGACCAGAGACTGCGCATCTGGAAGACACCAGGGAATCTCGCATCCTGCAGACGCTTAAAGGAAAGGAAGCCAGGTACTGAATAGGCTAAGGCCGCGGAAGAAAGGGCAAAAGGTCCTCAGAACCAGAGGCGACCGAGATCCGGACACAGAGCGGAGCGCTGTACAGTCAGAGGTCATAGGCAGTGCGTTATCTTACAGTCACAGGAGACACTTCCACCAGAATAAAACGTCAACGCTGCCTCAACCCTAGTTTAAAAGTTAGAAACAAAAGTGAAGTGTTCCGTACTCATGGAAAGAACCGCATTTTCCATGTTTGCCAGCAAGGAATGTGAAGACAGGAAGTGGATGCTATCAGATAGCATTAATGCACCATGCCCTCACCATTTCCCAGCTCTCCTGAGACTCGGTCCCCTTAAGCCCTGCAAGAGAAGAAAGGTACAAGCCTAACAAATTCTCTCCGTGCTTGCTAAGTTAATCACTCGCTGTCTTGGGAATGGGCTTGTAGGTTCCTCGTCACCCTGCCCGCATGTCGCTGGTGACGTGGAGCCAGTGGGAAAGTGCAGGTCTGTGCAATGTGCAAAGGCATGCAGCGGGTGAACAACGCCTGATCAGCAGGAGGCCTCAGAGGAGCGTCTGTCCGTGTGGCATCACGAGCAGCATTCCAGCCCCATGACCTGGCATCAGGCTCAGCAACTGGCTCAACGACTGTGCTCTAGTTGCTGCCTCTGCTAACTCCGGGGTTTTGCAAGTCTGGAACTTCCACTGCTCAGAGTGCATGGCTGCAGCTTATCTGGTGTTTATTAATACCACGTTCACTGTACTGTCTGGCTTAGGCTGGATTCAAGTGTCACTTAACAGAAGGGCAAAATGAAGAGCTCTGCTCACTAATCTCCATGTAATCCCACTAATCCTTCCTGTGATTCCTGCTGTGTTTGCTAGGGAATTCCATGATGTGTTGCTTGATGACGACATGGTAGGTCCTGGCCAAGAAATAAGTGGGATAATTCTAAAGGAAGACGAGGAAAAAGAGTGCCGGTTGCTGGCCACTGACGGCAGGTGGTGTGCTCGGCTGTCACTAGGATCGCTGAGATAACCATGGAGGACAGCGAGTCCAGTGGTGCTCAGGGCTGGGGTTCAGGGTGCTGGCTACCTCGTGGCACACAGGGGCATCGCCAAAATGGTCCTGCATGTCCTCTCCATTTCTGCTTTGGTTCTCCCAGCCACCTTAGGGTCTGACGTTTACTGTGTACCAGGCACTATGCTGCTTCCTCCGGCTGTCACCTCAAACACTTCACCCTGTTGGAGCAAAGGCTCCTGTTTTCATCTTCCCTCCAGGAACTGGGCTCGAGCCCTGTGGAGTGGGGAGTCTCAACACACATATGTATGCGATTTAGGAGGGCAATTCGTGCTCTCCCCACCTCTATTCCAAGCTGAGTCCCAGGGCCTCTGTGGTGTATAACCCAGGACACTATATTGCTTTCAGTTTTCTGAGTTACTCTTGCAGGCCTTGTGCAGTTCAAAGATTGATGGAGACCACTAAGAGTGGTGCTGAGCAGGATTTAAAATTAGCTAATCGGCTGTGTTTATCTGTGAGTCCATCCTAGGCCTAGGCCCCTTATCTGGAGATGGGCGGTGGATTCATAGTAAGTGAACGTCCCTGAATCACTAGTCCTGGTTGAGGCTTGTAGTGGTCTGTGATGCCAGAGATACCCCAAAGGGCGAGATAAGGCCACAGCTGCGGACACCTGGCTCCAACCCAAAGTAGGTGGAGCCTGAAGCTGCAGGCATCTCAGTCCTGCTGTCTCATTCCCACCATCAGTGTCATCACGGAGATAAGACAGTTCTCTTAAATTAGCAAAACTTACTACTTGGAGAAGTCTTTGAAGTGACTCTCAGGGTCCTGCTCAGTTCCCACCCTTTCCTCAGTATCCCCTCTCTTTGTTTAAAAACCTAATAACTATGGGCCACCCAGAGAAGCTCTTTGTCTGAGCCCACAAAATCTCAAACTTGGCTAGAGGGTTTTGATCCTCCTGGAGTCCTAAAATTATACCACTTGTCTCATTTATTTAAGCCTTTGCCATACACTTGTTTGTGAGATTGGGGATTTGGGCCAGGTCCCTGATAAAAGATGTTCTGGTTCCTGTCTGGATTGACACATATTACAGCTTCTTTCACAAAAATACTCATGACGAGAACAATCATAGGATCTGAAATAATTTGCATGCTGTATTTAATTTCATTCTTACAGTGTAACAGGTAATTGACAGACAGTTCAGTAGAGCAGGTAGATGACAGCTCAGTTTACCAAATAAGGAATTGAGACCCAGAGAACTAATCCATTTCCCCAAACCACATCTAAGAAAATGAAAACTCCAGGATTCAAACTCAGGGCTTCTGATATGGAGAACAGTGGGTCTCAGAGCATGGTATCCAGACTGACAGCACCCAGGGATTTATTCTAAATGCAAATTCTCAGGGCCTGGCAGAGCTGAACAGTGAAGCAGAAACTCTGGGTGCAGATCCATCGATCTGTTTGGGCAAGCCCTTCAGAGGAGGAGGAGGGGAGGAGGAAGAAGAGGAGGAGGATGAGAGGAGGAGGGGAGGAGGAGAGAGAGGAGGGGAGGAGGAGAGAGAGGAGAGGAGGAGAAGGACTTACATTTCAGGTAGTCTGTTGCTAGTGCTCCTCCCACTTCTCTTCATGGTGTCCACACTGCCTCCTCCAGATCTGCCTCCTGCAAAGAATAAAAAAAAAAAAGGAAGCACTGAATTGGTCTAAGAGAATCTTCTGTTCCTGAAGTGAAATTTCTGCAGTAATTTCTTAAGATTACACTGAAGGCCCTTGGGGCTGGAACAGGTCCCAAGCTGTATAAGGTCAGCAAGTCCAGCCAGTTGAACTGACGTTATGTTCTCTCGGGAACACAAGGGCAACAATCCGGCCAAACAGAGATTGCTTTTGTTTTGTACCAGGACTTGAACTCATGATCTTGCACTTGCCAGGCAGGTGCTGTGCCCTGAGCTATGCCCCAGCTCTTGATTTATTTTTTCTTCTTAGAGAAAATTGTCACAATCCCACCTTTGTGGGTTTCATCACTATCATAACAAATGTCTCTTTGGAAACTGACTTTTTAAATGATTTTGCATTATCATTATTCAATAAAGTATTTTTCTACTGGACTATTCATTATGAATCAGCAATCTCCGTCCAACTAAAACTCGGGTAGTCATTTAATGATCAATGGAGATCGTAGGGCCCAGAAAAGTCAGTTTGAAAAGAAAAATTGAGGAGCAACAATTCTAAGGAACGGCCATCAAAGGAGTAGAGACACTACATACCGGAAATAAACATCTCCTGGGGAGCGAGCAGCGGGGAGCACGGGACCGCGGTGTAGAGCTCTGCGGCCTCGATCACCCCTGACCCGCGGTTTACCACCTACAGCAAGCAGAGCCAGCGATGCTCAGCTAGAATTCATGCCTCTGAAAGATGGAATTAAGATGGGACCCATTCAAAGAGCTGTCCAAGGGCTCCGTAAGTGAACTCGTATGTGAAAAGCACTTCACATGCTGTGGCTAACACACAGCAAGGACTGAAAATCAGGGAAGAATTTTGTTGGGTCTTCAGTGACTAATCCGTGCCAGAGGCGTGTCCGTGAATCTCTTGAGAACGTGCCCTCCCGTTCCAGGTCTGACTCCCACGCTGGTCCACAAAGTCTGCCTGTCCTTCGGTTTGTTTATAAGGCAACATTTGGAAAATATTCAGCATTTATAAATACAACATGTTAACAAATCTAAGAGCATCCACTATAAGATACATTACTAGAAATGCTATTCAGAAAGGAAAAAAAATACTACTGATCTCAATTGCAAGATACTTCATAATTTCAGATCAGAAGGTGAAAAAAATTCTGTGTTTTAGAATTTAATGCAAGCTGAGGGTGGTGGCTCAAACCTGTAATCCCAACAATCAGGAGGCTGAGTCAGGAGGATCTTGTGAGTTTGAGACCAACCTGGACTACAATGTAAGCTCAAGACCATCCTGAACTGCATAGTAAGAACCTGTCTCAAAAAAAAAAAAAAGAATTTAATGCAATACAGTATTTTTATTTCCCGTCACTTCCTAGGACCCACGACGAAACATTCTGCCTGGGCTCTGTGTCCTTACGTGTTCAGGGAATGTAAAGGAAGTGGTTCATGAGAAGGACATTTCACAACAGATGGGAACTGGCTTCGAGGCAGCCTTACTGAGTCAGAAAATAAATAAAATACTGGCGGGGGAGGCCCTAGGCTAGGAGGATGAGACATTTCTGGAGTTGCCCACGACTGTAGCCAGGTCTGTGCAGCATGCACTTATTTGGTTAGTTCCTGCTTGTTACTGCTCACCGTGGAGTGCACGTAGGACAGCCACTGGGGACAGCGACGGTGCCAAGAAGAAGTGGTGTCATTCTGTCTGTTCCAGCTAACTTTGTTCATTCACACAGTTGTGGATTGGATGCTGTGTCCTCGGCTAGTCAGGAGAGAGGAGGTGAAAAAGACAGTCCAAACAGCCTTCCATTCCGCTGAGTGTGCTGCCATACCCCGGTGATCCTAGCACTTGGGAGACTGAGGCAGGAGGATTGCTGCAAGGTTGAGACCAGCCTTTGACTGGAAAGCTTTTGTTATTCACGGGGAACTCTGGTCAACCTGGAGGTTTCCAAAGTTAGCGATTCCTGTCTTTGACCCTATCAGCCTGTCGCTGCGGAGGAGGTGGGGCCTCTCCTCACAAGGAGTCCGCGCAGCTCCTTCCTTGTTTCAGTTTACAGCTGTCGTTCCCTCGATTGCCCTCTTCCTCCATCTACCCCTATGACACACCCTCATCCACCTCTGGACTGTGCACCTGATAACGCCGGCATAATCAGCTCACACACCAGGGCAGCCACACGCCCGGTGATTTCTCTCTGGACTTCCTGGGGCTTCAGGGAGAACTTTCCCACGAAGAGTACTGGGGTTCCCTTGAAGACAAATTCCTGGGTTAGTTTCAGGGCTCCCTGGGTAATGATTATGATTAAGACAACACAGACAAAAGCCAAACAGCTCTAACTGAGGACAATTTGCTGGTACCAGTATCTTTGCAAGACCATCGTGAATGCAAAGCCTCAGCAGAGTGCCACGAGGTAGAACTGTCAGAAGGTTAGAGCTGCACACGTCGGGCTGCCGAGAATAGTGGCACATACTTATAACTGAAGGGACTTCATGAACAACAATATAGCAATCAAGCAGCCAAACTGATAAATTTAGAATCTAATTAACTGAGCTCAAGACCACTCATATACAGACCTCCCTATTTCAGAGTCCAAACAAGTGGCACCGAACTGGAAAGTTACAGAGCTTTTAAAAGAAAGAACCACAAAAGACATCCTGCTGGAAACAGTTTAGCTAGAGTCTTACATTAATTTTTGGTTGACACCTGTACCCTGCTTTTTTGTTGAGCAGGTTAATTTCTCTCCTGAGGGTACAGCTCATTCTGCTTTTCTCTTGGGACTTATGCCCTGAGTAATTTTCCATTTTTTGGGTCAAATACAGGGCTCAAGATGGCATCAGATATGCCAAACTACAACAATAATCCTTGGTATTCAGGAGGCTGAGGCAGGGAAGTCACTATGAGTTTGATGCCAGTCTGCATTGCCTAGTGAATTCAAAACCAGTATGAACTACACAAGACTCTATCTCAACAAAACAAAACAAAAACAACAAGAAAAACCAAGAGTAGGGTAATCTAAAGGGTGCCCCACCTTAATAGGGAGGACAGATATTCAGGAAGGATCCAAAGGTTTGAAAGGTTTGAAACACAGGAAAGAAGAAGTTGGCTTGCTGTTTTTAATCAGGGTCCATTTTAACACTGAGATGGGGAAAAACCAAGCATAGCCATCTTCCTCATGCAACGCACCAGGCGTGGTGTCACTTGCCTGTAATCTCAGCATTTGGGAGGCTGAGGCAGGAGGATCTCCCAGAGTGTTTGAGGCCAGCCTGGGCTACATAGTGAGACACTGTCTCAAAAATTTAAAAAAGAAAGAAAGAAAGAAAAGAAAAAGAAAAAAGAAAGAAAGAACAAACAAAATCTGCAGTCTCACTTTTTAAATAGCGTTTGGTAGCATCTGGTCTGTATCAATAGCATTTAATACTCAAATGAGACCACACAAGTATTTTTGTATATAGTTCATGATTATTTATAAAGCAAGAGGAATTACGTTTTCATCAGGGGCTTTTCTTAAGTGAGTGTCAAACTTCCCCTTCCTCCTGTCTGCAGTGAGGACACTCTGGGGATTAGGAGCACAGGGTTTACTGGGTTTTGGGAAACTGGGGTCTCCTTCAAGAGGTGGTTTCAAGAGTCTTCTTGTCTTGAACAAAGAATTGGACAAAATAAGCACAAAAGACAGTGAGATTTTATGTTTATTAAAGCTTGATAAGAGTCATGCTCTGTAGAGCTAGTTTGGGCCAAGTAGAAGTAGGAAAAGGAGTTCAGCTTGAGAGTGGATCACTGTGGGGACAGAACACAGGAGCCCAAGCACACGGCTACTGTCATGTTACATCCCGTCTCCTCAGGCTTCCTGCGTCAGGCCTGGGCACTCGCATCCCAGTTACTCAAGTTCTCGCCAGAAATTGAGAAACCCACTTGCGGGGCTTTGGGACGCTGTTCTGTGCATGTGCTCTGGGACTTGGTAATTAACGGGCCACACCCCTCCCCCAGCAGCACCGCCGGGCCCTAGTCCCCTGCCTAGGTGGACACCACAAGATGGGTTTCCCTATTCTTAGGACACATAGGTAATTCATCCATCTTCCCCAAGCCTCCTCCTGACATGAAGGAGGTGTGGCACAGGGACAATTATGCTGGAAGGAACTGACTCGGAAAGGCTGCTTTCCCTGTCCACCTGCATGGCTCCTGAGCTGTGACAGACGCGTCACTTTCTCCACAGGCTTTCAAGGAAGACCTTTGTGCTTCTCAGAGCTGGAGAAGGGACCTCTCCTCTCAGCCACGGAAACATGCTGTCCAGCAAGTCGTGATGAGAACATTTTCACAGTGTAGCTTCTCATTACATTTTAATTAGTATCAGTGTTTTAAATAAATCGTTGAATATACAATAAATCCCATCTAAGCATGTGAAGGATACTCTTTAAGGAAGTGCATAGTTTGGAGTTTGCTTTGAAGAAACAAATTGTGTACTAATTTGTGTCCTGCATAATTGTGTGCTATTTGAAACCACTATAAGTGTGAAATAATTACATTTTAGAGACTAGAAATATCTTAGTCATCAGCCTATTCTGTTCCTTTTCCATAATACAGGTTAAACTAAGAGCACTTAAAAGTCTCATTCTAAATCAACCGTGGGAGCTGGGTGTGGTGGCATATTCGGTAATCCCAGCACTCTAAGTGGCTAAAGCAGAGAATTTTAAATTTGAGCCTAGACTGGGCAATTCAGCATTTTAGTAAAGAATTGTCTAAACAAAATTTAAAAATAAAAAAGAGTGAGGAGCTAGGAATATAGATCAGTACAAAGGCTATAAGTTCAATCCTCAGTATTGCAAAAACAAACAAAATTGAATCAACTAGAGGCCAGAGGATCAAAATTTGAGGCCAGTTTGGGCAACATAGAAGCCTAGTCTAAAGTAAAACAAAACAAAACAAAATAAACCGAGTATGATGGGTGCACACCTGTAAACCCAGCATAGGGAGGCTGAGGCAGAAGGATTGAGAATTCGAGGTCAGCCTAAACTATTTAGCAAGTTGAAAATTGGCCTGATTACACAGTGAGACCCTGTTTCAAACTAAAATAAAACAAAAGCCACAATAAATCAGACATGATGGTACACACCTGTAACCCCAGCACCCAAGGCTGAGGCAGGAGCACTGCTGTGAGTTTGAGGCCAGCCTGGGCTACACAGTAAGTTCAAGATCAATCTGACCTGCAGAGCACAGCTCAGCTCAAAAATGTGAAATAAATAGATACAAATGCAAACCAACTAGGTGACAGCAGAGACACACGCTGAAGACTCTTGCCACAGAAGTCTCTCCGTCCATGCACACAGGCCACTGAATCATAACATGATCATAATCATATCATGATTGGAATAATGGAGCCTACGGTTCTCACCCAACATAAATGCAGCTTGCCCGCAGTTCTTACATTACGAAGTGACAGGCTCCCAACTAACAATTATTTCTTCATTCTGTACTTTTGTGACCATCTAGCCTACCTCATTACTAACTCTGGCATTACCCTCTGTTATCTAACCCCGGCCCACGCCTGACTCATGACCGTGTCTCTGCCTGGTCTGTGTTCCCGTGCCCTCTGGCAAAGCCTCGGTGACCACAGTGAATTCCCAACGCAGTGTCTCAGCCAACGGAGTACAGGCGACCCCATGAGGGCTTTGCTCTGCCACCAAAGCCACTGGTACCCTGCGTGCCCAGGAACTGACTAACCGGGTCTCCAAGCCAAAGGAGACAGAGTCCCTGGACTTGCAGAGCCCAGAGTCCGTGGTGAGGGGGCATTTGTGCACCCTGCAGAGGGATCAGGCAGGGGGTGCTGGAAGACTGTAGAGACAGCCAGTATGCACAGCGTGAGGAGTGGACAGACAATCTCGCTAATCCCCTGCTAGGGAAGATGACAGTCAGTTGACACTCGCTTAGAAGCAGCAGAGGTGTCAGCACCCTGAGATCTGCTGGAGGAGCTGGGAGAATACTTGGGCGGGCGGGCGCCAGCCACCCTCCAGGAGCCTGAGACGCACAGTCTTCCTGACAACCCTGCGCTGTCTAGGGAGAGCGTGTCCGGTGTCAGGCGCACTGTAGGCACAGCTGAGGTCCGGCCAGGCGACAAGCGCCAGTTCTCTCCTGCAGCTGCTGCAGCCTGGAGCATTCGCTCGGCCTCTGCCTTCGTGGGGCCTCATTGCAGTCCCATCTTCATCTCAGACCGCCGAGGCCATGGTGGGGCTCAGGACTGGACAAGCAAGACAAGAGCAGCACTGGCATGCAAAGGGTAAGGGGGTGCTGATGCTCAGGTGTCCCCTTGCACCCCTCCGGGAAGGTGGACCGCACTTCCAGACCCGCCTCTTACAAAGTGCAGAAACAATTCCTCTTTCTTTCTTTCCTTTTTTTTTCTTTCATTGTTTTTGTTTTTGATTTTGAGACAGGGACTCACTGTGTTTAGGCTAGCACTGAACTCTGTGTAGCCCAGGCTGTCCTCAAACTTGTTGTGATCCTCCTGCCTCAGCCTCCTAGTGCCGGGATTACAGGCATGGGCTCCCACACCTGATTCTGTGTTCTCTTTTTAAAGGAAAGAGTTCATTCACCTTTCTCGCCTTCCTGGTGTCCCCTTCACTGCTCCCCAGGTGAAAATGTATTTCATAGCACCTTCTCTCTGGCTTCATGGAAAATGGACAAAAATGGGTGCAAAGCATAGACCTCTTAAGAACGAATTCCCTGTGTCCTGTGTCTGGTATTTCCTAAACCCCTGCTGCTCCAGGTGGGGTTGTAGCACCTGAGTTCTCCAAGCCCCGCCAGCCTCATGTTTGAGCTCTATTTGAGGATTAGTAGATATCAGTTCCTATGCCCTCTGGCTCGCTCTTCTGAGTGAGATTTTAAATTGGCAATCATTTGTATAAACAGAGCAATAACCACAAAATACCCAGCAACTTAAATAAAGGGCTTA